CGGTTAAATGGGGAAAGAATTGCAGATATGTAAGCTTGGCTTACTGGCTACGGCTTACTGGATATTGCGAAAGAAAAAAAACAAATTTCTGCTATTTTATAAATGCTCCCTAATTCCATTATAACCTTAATTTAGACAAAAAGTTTTCAGATAAAAGTTGTAGATAATCACATCCTTCAAGAGATCGTGTCCTGCGTTTTTTTTTCTAAAGCCTGTAATTTTTGACATATGACACACATTTTTTAAATGGAAATTGAATTGAACATTGTTAGCTGACGTCATTTATTTAAGCTTTACATATCAGCTATAATATGTTTTTTTCGAAAAATTACTGAATTATAGCCAATTTTTTTCTTTTTTGACTATTTTCACTTAGCATGGCATTCTTAGTTTAGTATGATTTATAACTTATAAAAAAACAGTATATTTTATTAAACGGTTTTTTACAGTTTACATTAAACAAATTAAAATTTAAAAAGCTACTATTACTACATTCACTTTAAGTTATTTTAACAAATGGTAAAAAATGTGCTATTTTTTGTGTATCTACATAAAATGTATCTTTTTAAAACTGAATTACAAGCTTTTCTCACAGGCTGTCAACATTATTAAATTTCTCCCGTACTGCCTTTTCGAGTACCTCTCTTATTTATTCATTTATTACCAGTAAATTTTACAATACATATTATTACATAGTCTTGCAAAACCGTAGAGAGACAGAGTCTCTGTAAGCGGACTGGATACAACAAAAACTAAATATAATAATTAAAACTAATTAACATAGAATAGAAAATTTACTTATTACTAATCTTATAATAGAACATACTACATTTTATATCTTAATCTATTCAGTATCTTTGAAATTATCCTATTATTTCAACCACCTTAGTATTTTTTTCTTTAGAGGTTTTCTTTTAAAGAACGAAGATTTCATATTTAGTGGTAATGCATTAAAAGTATTTATAGCACTGACATAGCTGATTTTGTTACTTACTTTTAGGTTGAATTTAGGTAACTCTCTTGATTCGTAAGTTTTCTTGTACACCTTGTTGTTAACCATTAGAAGAATAAGTGGAGGGGGGGGGGGTTAATCTCTGCGAACTTAGAGATCTATTGTGTCCCCCTTTCTTGAGTTATAACTCATCATACAGTCCCAGGACTTCCTACGGAGACCCGTGTCCTTCACAGTCGAGGAGCTACGACCCAGGCCGGGTAGACGAAACGGTAGCTTGTGTCGCCTGTTGGGTTTAGAGGTAGGAGGTAGGCTCCCGACCCTTGGATGAGGTGGTAACTTGTATGCCACTTGCGGAGGATGGTCTCACGCAAGTATCAGCCACCTCTCCTGTAGTTCTCTTTGGGTTTGGCCCCTTGGAACTTTCATTGTTACTGTTCCCAGTGTCGCTAGGGGGTTTCCCCACAGCTTCACCGGTGATGTTTTTATTACTATTATTACCAGATCTCATAGTGTTCCCATGAGTCGCTAGAGACAGTCGGTCCACTTTTACAGAGCCCCGCATGTAGAAGTAAGGGGTAAAATACAATGGGGTGCCCCCCGATGCCCCAAGGTTGAGGCTGTCCGTAGCCCCGCCCGGTATCGTTATATGTCTTGGTGCAATTCCCTGGCCACGACATTACAGTCAAGGACAAGACGATGAGTGAGATGCTTCTTAGACCAAGCCAAGTGCTAGGGGGGATGCCCCCCAGCACCTGACTAGGAGCTTCCCCACCAACGACAAGGTCTTGTATCTCCTAGGGGAAGTGTTGTTAATCATACCGCATAAGAAAATCTAAAACGGATAGGTCAGGTGATCGAGGAGGCCCATGCAATTGGTCTACCTTTTCCTAACCTTGAGTTTGCATAATTCTGATATAAATAATGTGTAACATTTCTTTAAGGGTTATGTTGAAATCACTCTATTTATATTGTGAAGTCTCTAAATTTAAATTTTCAATAAATTTTTACGTCAAGGCGAAATGGGTGAACAAATTAGGCAACCTCATAAAAAACCGTCTTGAAAACCGTTCTCTAAAAACGTAAGTAACATTTACCGGTCAACGTATTCTCAAAAATGTATCGTCCACTAGAAGAGTTGAACCAATAATCCCACAAGCTTTTCTTTATTAATTTTAAAAATGACTTTTTGTGCCTCGCCTGTATTATCAAACGTACAGCCTCGCATCAAAAAGTATCATTTTTCCTCCTAATAAATCAGTATAATATTTTTTCGAGATGTACCAACCCTATATGTGAAAATATATGCACACCCTGTATTATTAAAGTATTTTTTGTTGTGGTTAATTATAGATGTGACTGAATTATTATTTGTTTTAAATAGATCGACGTTTAATGATGTTAAATTAATGGTATTATGCAGATAAATATATATTTTCAACATGTTTAAATACTGCTTTTGTTACGAATTGATTGGTTAAACCAACACGATTTCATTGCCGCTGGCCCTCAATTACTGACCAATTAACTAATTTGGTCTATACTTGATAGTCCATAATAACATTTCAGAGTTCAAATTTAAACTCTTAAATCAATGGATATATTCTCATATCCTAAACTATATTCGTTTTGGTAAAACTATCCTAATCTATATACTCTATATACTAAATATTATAATCACTATACAGTAGATTTACTAACATAAAGTCCCAATGAACTATTAAAATAGACATTCACATTTATTGTTAATTAACATGCCATTTAAAGAAGAAAAGTGACAGGTTGTTACATCTTCGCAATTTATAGTTGTATGATACTCATATGTTTACATCCTAAATTATAGGGTGGCCTTTTACACAATTACTTTTTGCTCTATAGGGGAGGATCATTAAAAACGCCTGTAGATTAAAACCAAATTATGGAATATTCCTTAACGAGTAACAAAGACGGTTTCTATGCTTATATTTTAACGAATATCTTAAATTATAAGTGTTGCACTATGTCAGTTATTTTACTTATTTTGTTTATTTTTGAATAAAACTTAAGCTTACTTCTTAACTCCACATATAATTCTTGCTCTTATCTAGAAATTTCACCATCACAACAATTTGTTCGGTTAGTTTTGTCTCCGATAACTCTAATATAAAATATCATTAATATCACATTAATTTGGCTGTTACAACTTACCTTTGCTTTCTACAGTAATTACTAGCTCATTATTAGGCTTGTGCTTGTCTCAAGAATATTTTTTAGACGTATATCTTTGGAAATTCATAAACATAAATCAGATATATTTATCCTTTGTTTATTTTCAACGTCATGGAAATGTAAAGCCTACAATATATACATTGATTAAGAATATTATTAGGTATTTTTCCTATGTAATAATCAATTTGATTTAGATTTGAAGAGTATATATGTCACTGTTACTTATTTAGATATTACTGCATTTTTTGTACATTTAAATCTTTACAATGATTGTTTTATTGGTTTAGGATATCCCGGGTGCGTGTCAAAAATGACTCACCCCTATAACTTTTTTTATTTTTTTAGTTTAAAAAACGAAATTTGGTATGTTAGTATATGACATAAATTAGGATTGATTGACGTATTTAATTGTTTTTGATCACTTCCTGTTTCACCGGAAATAACTACAACTTTTGATTTTTAAATGGCACCCTCGGTATTTTTTTACTTTATTCGATAGAAAATAAAACTCTGAATTGAATGGCATAGCATATGTCAACTTTTGACATTTTCGCATATGGTTTATTTGAAATTATAACTTGCGGTTCGTAACGAAAATTTGACTCGAAATACCAAATGTAAAATTCTTTTTCGAAATATGCTAATGAGCCTCCATCGTTCCATTTGAAAAAATTGAGATATGATTGAAAATACGATTTGAGCATTTTCTAACTGGCCAGGTGAAGACATTAAAAACATTAGACGATCAAATCAATTTTGTCAAGGTTCCTTGATTAAGAATTAGCGTTTTTAACATAGCCATGGCACTCTAGATTGAATTTTAAAATACAATTTTTTATTAAGCGAGAAAATTGACATATGATATGATATTCTATTCAGAATCTCATTTTCTATCGAATAAAGTAAAAAAATATCGAGAGTGTCATTTAAAAATCAAAAGATGTAGTCATTTCCGGTGAAACAGGAAGTAACCAAAAACAATTGGATATGTCAATCAATCCTAATTTATGTCGTATACTAACATACCAATTCTCGTTTTTTTATCTGAAAAAATAAAAAAGTTATAGGGGTGAGTCACTTTTGAGACGCACCCGTTATTTTTATTAAACAAATCTTGTACATTTTGGATTTTGATTAACACGCTTTTTCTTTATGCTTCCCTTTTCATATCTTGTGCTAGTTGGAAGATGTTTTGTAACGGGACGCTGGTATAGTAGTAGGCTGTCGTTATTAACGTTGCAACCCGTTATAAATTTTAGGCCACTCCCGTTAGAGTTGTTGACAAAATCGCGACATAGCATTCACAACATTAGTCTAATAACTATGGTTAAAAATGTCAATACTTTTGTCGCGGGTTTATTTCTTAATAGAATACACTGGATACACTAGGTTTATAACAGAACGTCAACGGATTATAATAAACGTATCTCTTTAAAATAATAAAGGATTATAATAGACGTATCATAACTCATTAGCGTATTTGAAAACGGCATTTTTTAAGAATAATTTGGCACCACATACTCAATATTTCGAGTCAAATTGTTGTTATATTTACTGTCGTGGCACTCTAGATTGAAATTTGGCATACTGTCTTCTATTCAGAATGTCATTTTCTAACAAGTACCGAGGATACCATTTAAAAATCAAAAGTTGTAGTGAACTCTTTTTTTTCCTCGAAAAAACAAAAACGGTAGCCACTTTTCAGAATCATCCCACAGTATTAATTCAAATAACTTATTTCAACTTCCAAAATACAGTAAGATCAAACCTAGCTTTAGATAACACACCGCCTTAGGCCCTACATCTACCTTAAACCCTTAACGTCTTGTCTTTGTTCCAGTTACGACGTGCGAGGCCCTTACATAACGAGGCCCAAGCACTGGCGCGGCGAGAACCTGGAGGCCAGGGCCCTGTTCCAGCGCATCACCAACCCTTCCAGCCTCAACATGGACAACGTCAGCGAAGCCGACGAGGGTGAATATCGCTGTCGGATAGATTACTTGAAATCGCCCACGAAGAATCTGAGGGTGCGGCTGGATGTCATAGGTGAGTGTCCTTTTCTTGCTGGGGGTCTGATAAGTAATAATCCTTGTATTTTGTTTGTAATCATCTTAGGATCGTATTTGAATGACGTATATTATTATCTGATATTAATTTGTCAGAGACACTTATAGTTTTGTAACTAATATCTGCCCATATTGCTGTGAATATACATTTGATACAAAATATTCTTAATACAGAAAATAACTTCTTGTAGATTAATGACCGCGACTTTATAGATAGATGTACTGTGTCCCCTTTATTTGAGTTATAACTCATCATACAGTCTCCAGTATCTGAGACGGTTTTACAGAGGTTAGTACTCCTCGGATATTGATAGTACCAAAATTTATGGCATGAATGGTTGTCATCTCGGCGCACTCAATGATGGGGCGTTTTATGGTGTTTTCCCATTTTCCTCACATAATTTCCATTCGCTGTTGTTTCCTAGTTTCAATCTACTGAGGCCGAGGAGTGTCCCATTATTGGAATTACATGTACATTTTTTTAGCAGTCGCTGACAGTCTTACGGCAGTCCCTATCATAATTACATGGCAGTCTTCTTTGCAGTCATTGGCAGTCGCTTGGCAGTAACTATTTTTAACCCAGTGAGACACCTCTCGACTGAGGCGTTCAATGAGGAGATTAAAAATGTCCTGTTAAAAACCGGAAATCAAGGAACATCTTTGATTTTTCGTAAGTTCAGAGAAATTTCTTCCACTGTCTTTGATATTTGGAGAATATCAAAGTTATTTACTGGAGAATATCATTCCAGGTTATGGATGGAGTCCTCAAGGTTGGGAAGCAGTAATATTATGGCCCAGTTGGTGAAGTGTTTGCTCCTTACACAGAGAAGACCAGGCTACTAGTAACATAGCAAGTTGCCGGACGAATTTACGTTTACCCGTTTTGCGTTCGTACTCGAGATTGCCGGCTAGTCGGCTGGTCAGGCAGTACGCAGTTGCAGTTGTGCTTGGACGGGTCCGTCGTGACAGACTAGGAATACGACGCGAGGAGTGCCGAGTATTTATTATTTTCATTTTAAGTGTTTACCTTCACTTAAGGTAACATTTAAAATGAAAATACTTAAATATTTATTATTTGAGTGTGTTTACAAGCCAAAACTAAAAATAGATAAATTCTCTAAACCCAAAAAAAAAACTAAAATATTACTCTAAATAAGAAAAAGTTATAACAAGTATTCAAAAAGACTATCTTCTTGTCCTAGACAGAAGCCTAGGCGGTCGTAAAATCCCCGTCTGACATTGACTAACATATTAGGACTAATAGTTTGGAAAGCCTCTCGTATTTTTACTTGAAGCTCAACCAGGTTATTAGCCCTATTATGACCATACACTTTGGATTTTACATAACCCCACAAAAATAAGTCATTGGGAGAAAGATCTGGTGATCTAGCGGGCCACAAAATAGCTTGTCCATGTGTTCCATATCCACTAATTAAACAGTTGGGAAAAGTATTGTTCAAATATTCTTAAACAATACGGGCATTGTGGGCAGGACAACCACCTCAGCAATTTGATTACTTGAAAACGTGGGATTTTGATCCGCGGTAGCACAAATGAACACTTGCTTTAACTCCTGTTCTTCATTAATCAACACATCAGGCTTTTTGTGATTTTGTGAGAACACGCACTCATGCGTTTCAAAATTATTAATAACTCTTGATACAGTAGGTAAAGATGGAATTGGCCTGTTTACAGTTAAGTTTATGGAAAAATTTTTTGGTTTTAAAAAACAACTTCTTATATTGTTTATATATTATTACGCATTTTTTTGTTAAAATATCTTTTTTATTGTATTGAAAGGAGCAAAAACTTCTTTTGATGTACGTACCTCAAGGCAAAATTCTTGCTCTGCAAAAGTTATGTCGTATCCACTTGGTACGCAGTTTAACTTTTCATGTTTATTTTTTTACTACTTTAGAGGATACGGTAGATGAGTTCTGCGTCGACACGGCTGCTTGGCTGTCAGTGATCATTGCAGTTTTCCGCCTGGAAGTTGTCTCTTCGATTGACAATTCGTAGGTTTTCCAAATGACAAAAAATTTTACCTAAACACTTAATCTCTCCGGAAAATGATAAGACTTTGCAATGTCAAGACCTTCAGAAAAAACTCTCGCATCTACATCTGAATCCATTTTGGATCCATCAATAAACAGCGCAATTTCTAATTTCTGCAATAGTTTCTTAGTCTACCACTCCTTTCTGGTTGGAATTCTGACTAGAAAGTTCTTGTCAAACTCCCACCTTGATAACAGATAATCTAATGATCCAGCAATAATATCCTTGGATAATTTTCTAAGAGTATTGCTGTACCCACCGAGTATCTCCGTCCAGCAACCAGTTTCCCAGAGTCTGGTTACACTACTAGAGGCCAGATTTTTTATATAAAGCATGGGACCATGTTTAAAGCATATGTGGGCGTCAATATTAATGCTGCCATAATGCACGCACATATTACTCTCTACCTTTCCTTAAATTGTTTAAGAATATTTGAACAATACTTTTCCAACCGTTTAATTAGTGGATATGGAACTATTTTGTGGCCCGCTAGATCACCAGATCTTTCTCCCAATGACTTATTTTTGTGGGGTTATGTAAAATCCAAAGTGTATGGTCATAATAGGGCTAATAACCTGGATGAGCTTCAAGTAAAAATACGAGAGGCTTTCCATACTATTAGTCCTAATATGTTAGCCAATGTCAGACGGGGATTTTACGACCGCCTAGGCTTCTCTCTAGCACAAGAAGATGGTCTTTTTGAACACTTGTTATAACTTTTTCTTATTTAGAGTAATATTTTAGTTTTTTTGGGTTTAGAGAATTTATCTATTTTTAGTTTTGGCTTGTAAACACACTCAAATAATAAATATTTAAGTGTTTTCATTTTAAATGTTGCCTTAAGTGAAGGTAAACACTTAAAATGAAAATAATAAATACTCGGCACTCCTCGCGTCGTATTCCTAGTCTGTCACGACCGACCCGTCCAAGCACAACTGCAACTGCGTACTGCCTGACCAGCCGACTAGCCGGCAATCTCGAGTACGAACGCAAAACGGGTAAACGTAAATTCGTCCGGCAACTTGCTATGTTACTAGTAGCCCGGTCTTCTTCTATACCTTTCCAAGCTTTGTAAGACTGTCTTCTCATTCACATTCTGTACCAGGAAACATCTATGAATGGCATTGGTGAGCCTTGGTTGGCCCTTTTATCTGCCATTTAGTTACCCTTGTGACCTTCGTGTCCTGGTACCCAGGCCAACGTAACAATGCTACATTCGCCTAAAGTATTTAGAGCACGCACACAGTCCCACACTAGTCTAGAATTGACCTCCGCGGAGCTGAGTCAATTTCTTTTTGTCTGTGGAGTCTTGGTTGGAGCTTTATTTGAGAGTACTTTTATTTTACATGTCGTATTAGTTTATTGTCACTCAATAAGATAACTAAAGAATAAGAACTTTTAACTAAAAAAGGGCTATTACACACATAAAACTCTACAAAACGAGACAGACCCCCTGAACCAATTCCTTTTTCGAAACGAGTTGCGGTCGCGCTACGTGGCGAGCCAGGTCCCTGCGGCCCTTTGAGCCGCTCGCTAGTTTCCGCTCCTCGCCATCCGTTTGTTTCCAAGGAGGCAAACTGTGCGTAACTAAAATATTCACGCCGAGGAGTTTCGCCCGTGCCGGAGAGCGATAGGAAATCTACCCCCGGATGCCAACGGTCGCAAAGATCAACTTTAAAACTGCGGTTTTTCAAAGGGTCTCTCGCTGTCTGAATTTAAACGGGTTGCCTTCTCGAGTCGTTGATTTTTATCGAACGGTTTTGAATACTAATTGGGCCGAGTTAGGGATGCTGCTGATTCTTAATTTGTTTTACATGACTTAAATACAGAAAAAGTTTTGTCGGTTTGTTTTAGTGTCTTTTAGTATTAAAATATTCTTTGATGTGATACTGTAGGGCAACTCATCTGGCTCCGCACTTATATTTAAACTAGCGTGTACCAGCGACTTCGTTCGCGTCGAATTAATTATTTGTAATGGTGATGATAATGCAAAGCAAGAATTTCCATTAACATACCAACTGGATAAACTTTTCTCACATTTATGTCAGCATGAGAAAAAACAATATGGTGATATTATTATATAACTTGGTAATATTTGAGGGGTAGTTTCATCTCGTTGAAATTTGACTTTCGAAAAATCCGTTTGCCCAAAATAAGCTATTTACGTCAAGCAGTTTAAGCAGAATCGTGGTTAAGAAATTACCCAACTTTTTCGAACACCCTGTAAGATTTTTTAAAATATTTCAAACTATGTAAAAAAACCAAATAAATTATGCTTGTCCAAGCGTTTCCCGAAAGACTAACCGTTTTTTAAACACCACAGTCAATCCGTTTGCCAAAAATCAGCTTTAAACGTCAAGCAGTTTAAGCAGAATCGTGATTACTCAATGGTCATATTTTATGAAACACCCTGTATAAATTTATAAAAAATCTTAAAATATGTAAAACAACAAAATAAAATATACGTGTTTAAGAGTTTTTCCGAAAAACTCACCGGTTTTTAAATAAAAAATATTTTAATATTTGAGGGATAGTTTCACCCCCTTAGAATTCGAGTTTCGAAAAATCCCTTGTTATCGAACCTCTACGCCCTAAAATCAATCTGTTTTCCAAAAATCAGCTTTTTACGTCAAGCGCTTTAAGCAGGATCGTGATTAATCAATGACCAGATTTTTCGAAACACCCTGTATACATTTTTAAAAAAATCTTAAAATATGTAAAAAAACAAAATAAAATATAGGTGTTTAAGCGTTTTTCCGAAAACTTGGCCGTTTTTTAAATAAAAAATATTGTAATATTTGAGGGGTGGTTTCACCCTCTTGGAACTGAAATTTCGAAAAATTCTTTCTTATCGAACCTCTACACCCTAGAATCAACCTGTATGCCAAAATTGAGCGTCTCACGTTGAGTGGTTTGAGAAGGATC